TCTCTGTCTCTCTCTGTCTCTCTCTGTCTCTCTCTCTGTCTCTCTCTGTCTCTCTCTGTCTCTCTCTGTCTTTGTCTCTCTCTCTCATGTAAATTGTCTCTCTTCCATATATATATATTATTATTATTATCATTCATTGGAGTGTCATATATCTCAAAACTGATAGATTGATCAATTCATCTGTTTTTCAAATCACCAACAGGCCAACTGGCATCAAGCTCGTTTGGACCATTGCTGCGACTGACTCCCCAGTTCAAGGCAACCCGAATGCCCTCTTCTCCTCTGGCAACAGAAAAGACTTCGAGGACAACCTCAAGAACATGTTGAACACCCTCGGTCCTTCTTTCATGGGAAATTTGAACATCAATGGCTTTAATCCCCAAACACAGCTGAATCCAACACAAATAGCTACAGATGGTATGTACTCAGAAATCCCTTCTTTTTGTTTAAACCCAGTAGTTCTAAGTTTAGAAAAAAAGCTAGGGTTTTTTTGTTGTTATTATTTTGGTTAGCTATAATCTTTTTCTTCTTCTTCTTCTTCTTCTCTCCTTCTCTGCATAAATACAAACACACACATACACTTGAGTGTTTTAATATATTAGTGTATACATTATATCAGAATAAGCTATTGGATGTCCCTCCTCTAAAACAACCTTACGTGCTGGCTAACCCATTTATAGCACAGAACACATAATATATGGAGAAAGATTCGTTTTTTTTCTTTCTTTTCTTGAAGTAATTTTTAATTCCCCCCCTTCTTCATGTATCTCCACAGCCGGTGCCCAGGTGCAAGATCCATGCAGCTCCCCTGACGCTTGTCCTCTCGGCTACGAAAATTGTAGAACTGTTGGATTCGGGGACAGCACATGCTCACACAAGTGTGAGAAATTCGAAGAGGATCGCGCCTGTGAGCACGGATCTCTGTGCGAGCTGGACGCGAATAATGAACCCTTTTGCTCGTGAGTGGACGCAGTTTTCTCCTTTCTTTCTGACATTTTTTTTTCTTTTTGAGTGCGTCAAGTGATATAATGTTTAAATATTTGTCTATGATAATAATAATAGTGTGTGTGTGTGTGTGTGTGTGTGTGTGTGTGTGTGTGTGTGTGAGAGAGAGATAGATAGATAGAGAGAGAGAGAGAGAGAGAGAGAGAGAGAGAGAGAGAGAGGTGAGAACAGGAGGAGATTTCACAGACAACACAAGTGGAGAAAACGACTCTCCCGAAGTTCTGCAACGATCATTACGTTATCTCTTGTTCTTTTGTACGAAGCTAGCAACTCAAATAAGACAATACACTAAAAAAACTTTCACCCATTTTTTTTAATGTCTTGTCTCAACTATAGTGACATATTTTAGTTGTATGGTGGAATATATTCGGTCAAAGAAGCGAACATTTCTTGCAAGGTTCGGATTTTGTTGATCTAGGCTCTACCACAACAGGGGGACCGCCAAGTAATATTCACTTCTAACAAACGGGTTCATATTTCTGAGACAAGCCTCATTCGACTGTGCGGATGTGTCTGTCTATAAGGAGTGTTGAAAAAAACCCTCTCCCAGTCTCTATCTAGACTAAACTTAATTTGCTCTCAGATGAGTAAAGCAAATACCTGTAGGTTTGCTAACCACGAGGGTCTTCACAGTTGTACGGGAAAGCTTTAGTATATTATGTTTAAGGGTTACTTACAGAAACGCAATAGACTAAAATGTCGTTTTGTTACTTGTAATATAGAATCATAATTAGACATCTTTTATTTGGCATAATTTGTCTTGCATGGGGTAGCATTTTGCATAAAAAAGTGAAACGAGCTGATAAATTATTACCTTGAAATGTTGAAACATTTTGGTCTTTAAACTACAACTTCTTAGCCTTGTCTCAAAATATAAAAAGAAGAAAAAGCAATACTTATGATAGAAGTGGGTTATCTTGTCAAAGAAAACTACCCCCCCCACCTCATTAAATTTGTTTGATACACTACTTTTTGTGTATTTTTAGTTTCACGATTGCCTGAGGTAGTCCCGTGTGGCTCCTTAACTTGTAAAAAAAATCATCTTCTAAAACAGTGTTGTATCTTTCCCAAGTTCTCTTATTTTCCTCTTCCAAAAACTTCGCTTTGAAATGCTTTTTCTAGTGACGTGTTTATGGAAAAGTTTGTTAACTGAACTGTTGTTTGTTTTTTGGGGTTTTTTGGGGGATCAGTTATAAAAGACGAGCTCTGACATGTTAACTGTATTGATGACGTATTTGGGATGAATAGCTGGACCAAAAGACGGAGAAAAAAAATCCCCACACAAAGGCAACATAATGCGTGCCGGTGAGAACACCTGTAAACAGCGACATGTTCTGAAAGGGGCATGTGTTTTGATGACAAACAGATAACCCGGATCAACAAAAGCGAAACGTCTGGCGAAATGAAGAAATTGAATAGCATAAATAGGGGGAACAAACAAAAAACGACATGCAGGACGGTGTGACCAAGGACAATGATACAGTGCGGGGACTTTAAGATGGTAAAAAAGTGCGGAAAAGAGAGGATAGAAAAGAG